TGCTTCAAAGCACTTTCTGATAGCATTACCAGGAAGACAAACTAAAGAAGAATAGAAAACCTATGTTTCTGAGGCATGACATACCATACATTAGGACACAATAAATATAACAGAGTCAATATCCACACATCCGTACAAGATAACAAACCTTGCAAAGCTAATGTAATACTCTCCCCGTCCCATAATTATTGTCATATAACAAAGTCAATATCCACACATCCGTACAAGATAACAAACCTTGCAAAGCTAATGTAATACTCCCCCCGTCCCATAATTATTGTCCAGTTTGAGTTTCATTTCTAGTTCAAATTGTACTAAAAGTGAAATTTCAAACTGGACAATAATTTTGGGATAAAGGGAGTAGTTTAATGCTTCTAGCTTATTGGACCTCTTTCATCAGAGTCTCCTTTTCCTGACAGCAGACAATAATATAGTTCTTGTATGGTTGAGACTTGTGGGAAAAGTAGGTTTATACTGCTACTTTAAATCGTCAACTACGGAGTAAGGAGACCACGATCAAGAAACTATCAACAACAACCGAGCTGCATTTGAACAAAGGAAAAAAAAAGTGTAATCAATAATGACACGATCAGATTTTAGCTACATGTTTCCCAAAAATTTTACAATTTTTTCTTGTTCCTCAAGGGCCTTTCCAATTCTCAGTGCAACGGCCCTTGCACTGTCAATTTCTACACATGCAAAAGATTTTTCTTAACATCCTCTGAAGCCTGAATGTAAGAGGATTGAATCTTTTAGAAGATGAATACAATGTACATCAACATGACTCATGAAATTATGAGACAGAAACGGCAAATTACAAAAATCTCAATTTACAATTGAAGACATGAATAGAGGATAAAGAGGAAAAAAAAGAAACCAAAAAAAAAGAAAAAATAACAAATATTAGTTCAGTAAACTAAATCTTAAGTTATTAGATCAATTAATTTGATTTTCTCCTTCGAGAAAAGTTAGAACATACTCAAATTTTCAATGATGGTTAAATCAACTATAGAACATAAATCCGCATAAACCCTTACAAAATAACCCTATGTTTCTCAATTTTGATTGCTTGTTTGATTGAATGGATTGAATGGAGACAAGAATTATAAATAAATTGAACGAGTAGAATTATTTCTCATGAACTCACAAAGATGTGTGTCGTGTTCTAAACAATGCCGGCGGTGTAGTTTTTCGCCTTTATCAAATAATTTTTTTTATACATGTAATTAATTTGGGCAATTAATTAGCAGGCTGGTAATTTAGTCGTTATAATCAGGTGTATTTGCATTTATTTCTTTACAATACACCTTTTTTTTAATCCTACGCTCATTAACTATTCCAGTTGATCTTACGGTAATTAATCTATGACTGAACCGTTCAGTGGACTAGACTGTAGCCGGTCCCTATATATATATATATATATATATATATATTATCAAAAGAATGGCTTATCCCAACATATATTTTTACCTTTCTACTATATTTATATTCTAAAAAAAATCCAAACATATTTTTACACAGAATTACGGGTAGAAAGTAAATTTAAATACCGACTTTTTTTCCCAAAAAAAAAAAAACTCCAAATAAAACTTTTAAAAATTTGTACTTGTTTTTAATACAAACATCAAAACTCCACGAAATATTACTCCCTCTGTCCCAAAATTATTGTCCAGTTTGAGATTTTACTTTTAGTATAATTTGAACTAAAAAAAAAATCCAAACTGGACAATAATTATAAGATGGAGGGAGTACATAGTTCTTTTTTGGGCAATGAAAGGAAAGCGTTTTAGTTTCTGTACATTTTTATAGCCTAGTCAATTGTAGTAGAATGTCCATTATAGTAGAATTATGCTACTTGGCTCAGAAAATAGTTTAATTTGAAAAATTCAAATATGAAAATTAGATGACCTAATTTTGTAAATAAAAAATAAATATGAAAACTTAGATAAAGTTATATGACTATTTATTAATTTAATAATCAACTTTAGATTATAGCAATCTCAGAAGTCTAATTTAAAATTTTATGTTCTCTAACTCCAATACTCTTTCGGTCTTATTTTAATATTTCGTTTCATCCTTATCATAAGAAATTTTTATATTCTCTTAATCTTATTTATAAGTATTTAAGAATGTGTCTTCAAACTCCAAGGATCTTGTACGATTTCAGCTATATTTGGCTATTTGCCCCCGAGAGCTATAGAACTCTAGTTAAGATACTACTTCTTTAGTTCCATATTTTCTTTTATGTGAAAATATGTTGCCTGGTGTTATGTATGGATATGAAGTTTTACTCAAAAGAAGCTATAGAATGTGCAGTTGTGAACTCTGAGAATTTGTATTAGACCTTGGAAGAACAACAAGCGCTTTTGAATTTTGAATGAATTATTTACGCCAAAAATGAAATTATGGAAGGGTTTCATGTCTGAAATATATATAGATAAAAACTTCTATATCTCATGAGGGCATTTTAATGTTGAAAAAATTCGTAAAAGAGAATTCATCAAATGTCGTGGAGCAAAGTTAAGAGTTACAAGGCATTTCAATTGAGGAATTAGTAGTGTGGGTTATTTTTGTTTTTTGTTTAAAGGAAAAAAAAAGTTTATGAAATTCTATTGTCTTTTTTGGGTTTCTAAGAAAGGCAAATTATTTGGTACACCCACCGTGTACTTCCTGCAAATTCTGGCCAAAATCCTAGCCGCCTTTCACACACACACTCTCCTCACACACACATGAAAAAAGGACTCACCTTATGAAAACCGGCGTGTTCGGCAGGATGGCGAAGCCGCAGCGGGTTGGTGACTTGCGATTCTAGCGACCGCGGGAGTCGATTCCGGTGGTGGCGGTGCTGAACGAGAAAGACGAAGAGGAAGAGGTGGTCGCAGGAGTCGATTCCGATGGCGGCGGTGCTGAACGAAATAGAAGAGGTGGCTGCGGGGGGCACACCGTGTTCCCGGGTGCACCCAATACAGACTCCTAAGAGAAACATAAACGCAATTAATGAAAACGCAATTATGAAATTTCCCAAATTAAAGTTGTGAATTAATTATGTGACTACTGTCCCCTCCTTCTCGATCTCCTGTTCTTTCCCAAATTTGTTTTTCAGCTTTTCTGAAGTTTGTAAAAAGGACAGAAATGAAGTTTTCCATCTACTGTATTCTTTATATCTTCCTATTACTCCCCTGAGAGGGACTCATTCACTCACATGTCTAAAAAATGTCAAGAAATGACAAGAAAAAAGATGGAAGATATTGAAGAGAGAATCAGCATAAGGCAATGTGCAAAATACAACATATGGCTGTACCCTTTTTGCAAAATTTTTAGACTACATTTTCTACCAACAAAAATTAGGCTTGTAGTATAAGATACATCAACTAGGAACTGAGATTCAAATTCCTACTCTTCACAACTAGTTACAGGAAAGGTTCCGGCAATTCTACACGATCCAAGAAGATGGCGATATCTTCATCGTTAACAAATAGATGGGCTGCGCCGTCATCCATGACAGTATAGTCAATTATAGGCGGCAAAGTATGCCGAGTTTCTAACTAATTTCGGATTGTATATCTTGCACTTTCCCTACGTCTTCCCAAAGCAGAAGTAATGCGGTTAAACTTCAAAAAAATATCATTATGAGATCGAGGTGTCGATGCTGGCTATCCACATCATCAAGGTGCTTTAGTCTCCCGACATATATTTTTTTTCTGCATAATATTTCTTCTCACTTGCTTCTTTCTTGGCATTTCGTTTCTGAGGTAGTTAAATGCAATCAAACCACAATTACTAAGTGGAAGAGATGTCAAGACGATCAACTACATAAAGTATGAGAAAAACAATTTGAAATCCATGCATAATATGAATAGACAAGGAGTACCACATAAACGTCATGATTAGCTATTATCCTTTGAGCTACAGAAGTGGTTGTAATATTTTTTGGGCTCTCGATTACTCGGAAGATTCCCATGCTTCTAGGTATTGCATATGGATCAGGTTTACCCTGCAAGAGGAAAATCACCATGTATTATAGCCAGAAAGCAGCTTAGAGATGGCACTTTTCACATAAAGGCTAATACTACTCACATCCAAAAAGGAGGTGCTCTCAGCAATCGTCCCATGTACAACCAGAGAAATATTAAACGTCTTGATCTGTATGCAAAAAGGCGCACAGGTGAGCAGATAACACAAGAATCACAAGTTCAAGTTTTCAGAGCATATAAAATTCAGGAGCAGAACTGAAGAAAAACTAAACAGATTTAAGTAATTATTGACACCAAGCCAAGTCTAAGAATGATAATGAAGCCAATGAGGAAAACCTGCAACATAATACATTCAAGGGGAATAGCAGGTAAGAAAACATTATGTTCACGGGATCATTCAAACAATATTACATGTCAAATTCAGGTATAAAGCATACAAATTTAGCATTAAATTGTCATGATAGTTGACAAGATACAACTTTTTATGTTCTCTCCAAGCCTATATGATCTCATCACGACAGCTACAATATCCAGTTGATAAGACTAAAATAACATTCTCACAGCATTCTTTATGCAGATCATTCACGTGAATTTACCCATGAGGCCTAGGCAGCAACAATAATTAGCAACCAAAAGCTTTTTAGACAAGTTGAGGATGTTCAAAAAATCTAGCATCCTCTTTCTAAACATTATTACCACCAAAGTTCACCAATAAATCACGTTTAAGCATTTTTCAGAGTCAAAAGAGGGTGTCACTGTTATTGATCTGTAAACATTCATATTTGTGGATGGCATTGACGTAAAAGCAAATATTTCCAGTGATGCAAGACCATGATCTTCTTGGTGCTATCAAATGACAGATATAATTTACCTTTGCTAAGACTGCACAAATTAAATCCCAGAAAGTCTTGAGAAAGGAGAAACAACAACCAACAAATCACAAAGTAAATAAAAAGGTAATGAACACAATGGTCAAAGATCCCAATGCTTTATAATTAACCATTCACTACTGGCACTCTAGGTGACTTATTTCTTGTGGCCAAAAACATTTTTCTTGGTTAACATCACACAAAAAGAACATATAAAAGGCATCTGGAACAAATATGGATGCAAAGGAATGTAAACTGAATGTTTGCATACTTTTCTTTCTTTGGGACAAATTATAATATCCTTCAAGCTCAAGCAATGTCCTGGGATACAAATATCCTGAGCACATATTTTATTTTATTATCAAGAGATAATCCAGCAGCCACGGAAGGACAAAAGGCATGGAAAAGGCATAGATCTGATTTATACTAGAAAGAACATACCAGGTCATTTGTAACTTCCCATGGTGCACCCATGATGACTTCATCAACATATCGACAGGCCAGCACACTCAGACTGCGCTCATGAAGATTCATCAGTGGAAATTGTGCCCCACGGAGTTCACTGCAAAATAAAGAGGAATATAACCTTAGTATTCCTTCCATTTAGGCAAAACACATAATTGGGGTAGTTAACAAATTTGCTAGAACTATTTGTGATAAGGATAAACTAGCTATTCTAGTATGAACAGAACCATCAGTCCTAATATGCATATAAGACATCACCGCACAGAGATACAAATCCAACATACCTCACTGTCTGGTCAGAATATATACCAACTAAAAGAAAATCTCCTTGCTGCCTGGCGGTCTTGAGTATCTGTGCGTGCAAAAAGAGAGGCTCATGTAAACTACATTAAAAGGACGATACGAGATAGTACAAATGTAACACATTTTCCAAAATTTCAACTTGAAAGGTGCATTCCAGCAGCATACACCAAATTTAAGCCCAAAGTTTCAAATTCAACATCATGCACACAAAATTGTCTCACATTGGTATCGATAGTTCACTTGAAGTTTAATCAAGTAAAATTAAAACTATCATCAAGGTTTTGTGAACCATCATTTCATGGAGAAGCGAGCTTCAGTACTCATCAGTCTCTGGTAATTGAAGCGATCTACAAAAGCGACTTTTATCTTGCATGCAACATATACTTACATGAAATGACACTCAAGGGAAAGTCATATCAAAGAAAACCCACCGAGATGACAGATAACATGTCCCAGTAAATTTTTTAGTGTTTTTTTGATAGTCAAAATCTGAAACAATGAACATGTCCCAATAAATATCTTAATGCTTTTTTGATAGTCAAAATTTTGAAGACCTTGAATGGCTCATTTGAAGAAATCAATTAAGACATTATTGAAGCACAAACATAGGTTGCAACAAATGAAAATAATAAAGAAACGGATACAGACACTGCTCACAAATATGAAGCCTCTAATATAAAACCAAGACTTATATTCTTTAAATGAATGCCAAAGAAAGACATAATTAATTGTCAGGCCGTTATGTCTCAATCTAGGGTAATAAAGCTTCTGATCAATTAGCTGATAGAACAAACAAGACGCTATAAAAGATATTACTAACATTCCACATAGTAATAACAACAATTATCACGCGAGAAGCATGCAATTCGAAGGTAAAATATGTACAAATAGAGAATTACCTCAACATGACCGGCATGGAAAAGATCGAATGCTCCATCAATATAAACCACGCGGGAATTCGGTCCAGGTGCCTAGGGTGAAACAACAATAGGAGCTTACATAAGAATAGACACAAAACGCTTATAAATCAAGCAGCAAGTTTAGTGCTTCTAATCAACAATAGAAACTACACTTCAAAAGCTAATCACATCAACGGTGAGGCTTCATTTGTATGCATGAAATCCATTTTCTTTTTCTTTTTTTTTCGGGAGGGAGGGGGATGATATCCAGTTCTTTCTATAAGAAATAACAAGAAAAACTTTGTAAAACTCATAACTGCTATTCAGTTCATAGAATCGAAGCAGGGCACATCAATGCAAAAATTACAAGCAAACAGCCTTTATTTTGGACATCAAATTAGTTCTGACTTCTGAGTCATGACATTAGACTCAGCTTCAAGTATTCTTAGGCCACCAGTAAGCAACGCCAACAACATAAAATAAATTATGTCCAACTTAACTCACATAACACTTTAAGCCTTTGTTTTACTCTATTCAAATGCTTTTCAGCAGGAAAATTAAAATTTGTTTTAGATACATAATCAGGCCTCTTCTGCTCAAGTATTACTGCTAAAGATTTTCCCGACTGCAACATGAACCTGCCTCTAAGGTAATGTTTCACAAGAGGTACGGCCTTGAAGTTTGTTCAGGTCTTGGAAGGGTTTCACAAGGCCTCTCCTATTTCTTCCTACCAAGACAATCACTTTTGACCCTTTAAAAATCTAAGAACAAGAATAACTAAACAGTACCTTGCAATTTGAAAATTGTACTATACGCCGAGAGGTTGGAAGAAAATGAGCGTGGCAATGCTTGGGCTGACTTCCTTCACAGGACGTAGAGTTTTTGCTATCCAATTTGTCCATGTCTGATGACTTAGGGCTTTTCACCACCTTAAAAGCGGAAAGTATCCTCCCTGTATTTGGAAATACAAGTGATAAAGCGAAGAGCATAAAGCAAACAAGTAATTCCATATGCAGACAAGCAAAAGAGATGAACTTTACAAGATACATCTGTCGGAAAGCTAGTTCTAAAATTCAGCAAGTTCTAACAACAATATGCAGAGGCAAATGATGCTGGGGATTCAACCATACTCAAATCAATGGACCGATCAAGCTAAGCAGATACTGTAGTACTGAATAACACCTATGCAAACATACAATACCACCTACCTTAAATGGACCACACAGTAAATTTGTGTCCAAAGAAGAAACATAGTACATTACACTGAAACACTAATAAGCCCGTGAGATCATATCAGAATCTGGTATTACACAAACACGTCAAAAGAAGAACGTGTTAATGTCAATAATGTTGTTACCCTTAATAATCAAAGAATAGTTGTCAATTAAAGGGTTAAAATAGATCCAACAAAATATTCCCAGCATATTACCAACAAAATTCTACAACCAGCATAAAGTCAAGGATTTGAGTGTTGAAAAACTAACATGTTAAAAGAAAAAGAAAAGGGAAAAAGGGGGAAGCGGAAACAATAATGTTCTGATGAACCAGAACGCAGTTTTGAAAAGAAACTGTGAAAAAGGACATCTCATAGACAAATCAAAACACTATACCTCTTATAATAGACTATGTTTGTGATACACAGACCAAAAGAGCCGATATGACACAGTTAAATAAGACTTGCATGTCCATTTTGTAACTTGAGCACAACTCATTCCCTTCCCTCTTTCTTCTCCCCATCACTCCCTCTCCCTCTCTCATCATTTCTCCAAACCAAATCAGACCAACACATGTATACAAAAGCGAACACAAAGACACAGTAAACATTCTTAACAAAGAACACTCCGGCGTTTCCATGAAACATGCATTGTTTATGAAGAAACAATTTTTGTGATCTATTCTTCCTCAAATTAGCCATGCATCTTAACAATAGAGTAACTGAAAAGAAGATATATACCTACGATATCCGTGCTAGAGACACCTTCAGTGCGTTTTATTTGCTTGTAGCGACCTGCTTTCTTTGCCAACGCATAAGCATCAGTCCCATCAGGAAGCAAGCAAGGGTCATCACCATGTATGATATAGTCAATTTTATGTTTGTTAAATAGCTGGTTCATGAACTCTTCAGTAATTTCATAAGGAGCATCAGCAATAACTTCGTCCACCCACTTCAATCCACTTACAAGGGCTAGCCTGGAAATAACTATAAATCAGATAATAGGTAAAACAATCTCTTTGGAAAAGAATCATTCTAAATACATGAATTGTTAACATATGCATTAGCAAAAGAAAAAAAAAACTGTTAGAGACTGGGAATAAATGCTCGCCCTATCTGGTACAAGTTTTATGAAGAGTACAAATATTTGGCCAAGTCTCTTGCGAGTCAATATATCTTCAGATTTCAAATATTTCTTGAGAATCTAGAACACCCATTAACAATTATGCTATATGTAGCTGTGCTCTTTACATCAATCATGAGTTTTTCTGCATAAACCTAGGATACAAAAGAACAACAGAAAAAGCAGCATGGTATCAAGCATTCTAATTGACACCTTATGTCACCAAAGCAATTTTCCTCCACACAAAGATCTCCTATCAAGAGAACTGGTTGTTACCTCGCACCAAGGAAGAAACAAGAGCAAAAGGACGCTCGGGCAGAAAAATCTGACCCAGCAACAGAAAGCTATTTTTTTTTCCCTTTTTGGAATGTTTTCTGATTCAAGTTGTTTGAAAAAAATTTAACATAAGTGCTATGGAGAAAAAGCAATCAAAATGGGACATTCATAGTGGAAGCTGACTCAATTAGTTACAGTTATTCACAAAATTTCGCAAACTAAGCATCCTCAGTAAATGTGCTAAGCACTGAGGATTTTCATAAACAAGTTCGTAGCTAAAAACTGGGGCCCCAGCCACTTGCCGTTCTCTTTCTGTTCACTGTTTGTTAGCTACAATTGCACAAGCGAGTATAGGAAGATGGAATGTTAAATTTGTCAGTTTTCAACCCGAAGTACACACACCCAACACTTTCAAGTTAAAAGGGCCTTATATACAAAATCCTAAGTTCTCAATGATCAAACAAATTTGAAATCAAAGGTAGCCAATAATTTCTCAATCCCTGAGATATGTAGAGTGTGCATAGATACACATGTACAACAAAGCAGGACTAAGTAACAGATTACAGTAAAACAGTAAAAGTATGGGAAGAGGTTCGTGCACATCATTCACTAGTTAGAATGCAAAATCTGACCTCTCCTCCATTGACAAAACAGGTGGTCCTTTATTTGCTATGATCTGCTCATCACTCACAACCCCAACAACAAGTTCATCTCCCAGAGCTTTTGCTTGCCTCAATGCATTTGCATGGCCATAATGCATAAGGTCAAAGCAGCCATCCATATATACACGAACCGGTTTCTTCCCACGTCTCTTCTTATGAAAAATCCCAAAACCAGGTAAGAAGTATGGCAAAGAAGGAACAGTACCACCGAGATAGCTTGTGGATAAGCCAAGTAGAGCAGCAGTTAACATTATCCCACCAAACACATGGGGGTAATAATACATTCCATCCCAAATCCAACTATGGCTTTCGTAATCCATTTCTGCCGGTAACCCTTTATCCAATTTTTTTGTTTTTTTTATTAAAGAGAAGACACGAACCCTGCAATCAAAAGTTAAGCAGAACCACATCAGTCAATATTTTTCCTCTGCACTGTGTCAATGCAACAGAAAGTTTCAACAGGAAAATCATAGAAAGAAGCACAAGAAAGCATGGTGAAAAAATTCCTATATCTCCATATATAAATAACAAATAAAACAGAAGGAAAATATACATATATATATAGAAATACAAATACCCTCCCCTCTCCTTGTCCCAACACCCTCCGAACAACAAAAACAGGAAACATAACAGAGAAATGTTCACACAAACGAAGAATTTAGGCCCAAAAGATCTCAATTTCAAGGCAGCCATTAGAATCTATTACGCATCAAACATCCACAAAATATTTTGATTCGCATTTATCTTCAAATCGAGCTGAAAGAAGGGGGAAAATAAACCTAGGGCGATCTCAAAATGCATAATTCAAATGAACAAAATGTAAATCACAACATGAAGCACCTGGGAGAAAGTAGGATCAATCTGTAACATTATAAGCTGCAAATTTCAAAAATGTACTTTCTATATTTAAAAAAAAAAAAAGTAAAAACGCGTATAATATGAGGAAGAATTCAACTTCTTCACGTAACAAAGAGAGCAAAAAACCAAAAAAGAAAAGAAAAATAAAACAAACAATAACAATGAAGAAGAAGAAGAAGAAGAAGAAGAAGAAGAAGAAGAAAGGCGCGCAACGCACACAGAATGTGTGAACAAGAACAACCTCAAAATTAACGACGCATCCTCAAATCTTAAATTCGACGAAATATAGGATACTTGTCAGATCGAAACTTCTCACCTTAGAAGAGCAGAGGTGGTTCGTGTCTTCTCTCTCTTTCTCTCTCTTTCTCTCTCTCTTTCCTTCTCTGCGTATCGTCGAGGCAGCAGATGTGTGAAGACAACAAACTTTTCTCTTTCGGACAATTCTTTTTTTTTTTTTTTGTGGTAATTACAGCTTACATGCGAATCAGAAAAAGAAGAAGAAAGGGAGTAATAAAGGTTTTTGATTCTTTTCTTATTGGCATTAGAATTATTCGATATTTATATGCTTTTCTTTTTACCAGTTTCTAGGACGTCGGTCCATTTACTCAAAAAAACAGTCAAAGATATTTCTTGATTCTATATGACAATTACAAATGTACCACTCTCCAATTTTATAATTTTTTAATTCTCTGTTTTAAATTGATTGCACCGTAATACCGTCTCTTACCTCTTTTTTGGATCATAAATATTGTAGTTATGATTAAAACTAAACTTTCAAATAAAGGTGGAGAGATTTTATAATTAATTAAAAGAAAATAAATTGATACTACTACTATTACGATACAATAAACATGATGATTATTTTTGAAATGTATGGAAATATATAATTTTCGTGAATTAGAAAGGAAAAAAAAAAAAGTGGTCAAAAGTTGGCTACTACCATGACCATAGCATTGACTTACTCTATACTTCCAGATAATAAAAATTAAAACATTGAAAAGCAACGTCATTACCAAAGAAAACAAGGAATGATACTTTGAAATTTACCTATGAGTTCATTATATATCTACACACGTCTTCTTATAATGAAAATACACGACCGAATCAAATTGACACGTTTTTTTCCATAATCTTGTTTTCATTTGGTCACTATTATCACTACCATTATGCCCAGCTCGGACTAATATAGATTTTAATAATTATTATTGAACAAAGAGTCTTTTTGTTCTAACATGATTATTCAATATAGATTTGTATTTTGGTACTATTGTTTGGAGAAGGATGAAGTATATGCCAAACTCATTTTCTAGGTTGTGTTAAAATGTGGTTACACAAAAATTGATACGGAATCTTTATCATTTTAGGAGACTTTTCTGTTCATTTTTTTTCTAAATTTTTAATTTATTTTGAAGAAGGGCATTTGGAGTAGATTTTTGGCCTCTCTATCTCAGTCCTCAAGAAATAAAATGTCATGGAAACGAATCAAGAAAATCGAATCGCGCGCGATCAAGCATTCGAAGGTTATTATAAGGGGGGGTGATCGCTCTTTGTGGTTCGATAATTGGTCTTCCAAGGGGTTGCTTTGGGCCAATGATCATGAAACGCCTCCTTTCCCAGGTTTGAGTATTAAGGAGTTTCTTCTTCAAAAGCGACACTTCCTGGCTGAATTTCAGGGAAACATTCCGCATCATCTTTTACAATTCTTGGAAGAGTTCCCTTATGATATCCAGGCTGAGGACGGTTTGATATTTTGGCAGCCTACTTCTCTTGGAGATTTCACTGTCAAAACTGCATATGATGTGTTGTGAAGAAGGAGGGCAGAAGAGGGTTAGTTGCGAAATATCTGGAAACCAATTGTGCTTTTGAAAATCTCCCTGTTTGTGTGGAAGCTCCAGAATAAGTTACTGTCTTTCCCTGAGGTTTTAGGCAGAATGGGAATTCATATTTTTCCTTCCATATGCTGCTTTTGTTCGAATTATGATGATAGAATGGAGCACTGTTTCTTTGGTTGTCAAATGGTGCACCAGATTTGGGAGCATTTTGCTTCCTTCATGCAGCTTAATGTCATGGGATGTATTACTCTCGCAACCATGCTTCAGAAATGGTGGAGTACAGGAGATTTTTAAATAGCTTATGGGGTTCTATATAAACTTATTCCAGCAGTCCTTCTTTGGGAGATTTGGAAGGTGCGAAATAAAGCCATATGTGAGAGTTTGCGGCCAAGTTTTCAGGTAATCCTCCATTCTATTTTGGATCAAATTCATTCTCTTTTGATTATTCATGACTTAAAAATCAAAAGTGCGGCAGAAGGAGAATTTTTTGCTAGGGTTTTTGGCATAAAGCTCAGTCGCATTATCCGGCCTAAGTTTTTGAAGGTCTCGTGGACTCCGCCAGGTCCGAATTCATACGTTCTAAACACTGATGGATCATCTTTGCCAAATGAAGCGGGTTATGATTTTGTGATTCAGGGAAAAGCGGGTGTTTTATGTATGGGGAATGTGGTTATCTAGGTGAGGGAGATAGCTACAAGGCGGAGGTATTTGGAGCTCTTTTTGGTTTGCGGAGATGTGATTTGATGGGATTATGTAATGTGGTCCTTCAGACAGACAACAAAACCCTAGCTGAGACATTGGATGAGGTTTCTGGCTTCCCTTGGGAATATTTTTCTGTTTTTAATGAGATGGTTTTTTTTATTAAAGAAGACTGAGTACCGGGTAACTCATATTTATCGAGAGCTAATTCGGTGGCTAATAAGTTAGTTAAGCGTACGGTTCTTAGTTCTTCAGAATTGTATACTAGTTTTTCTTCATTGCCACGTGATGTAAAAGGAACATTGATTCTTGATCAATCTTCCTTCCCTTATGTGAGAATTTGGTTTGGGTGATGTAATATGGGGTTAGACTTGATGTAATTGTGGATAGTCTATACGCTACCACCTCTCAAATTTTTTAATAATAAAACTCAGGAGAGGGACGAATCTAGGGAACTAGATGATATTTATGTTCATCCCTTGGGTGCATTGTATCACCTAGCACAAGCTAATTCATAAAATAGCTCTTGGGTAGACCCCTCGAATATTTTATGAGGTAGTCGAGACCTGAAAATAGTTCCAAATCTCCATTTCTTTGCTTAAATTTTTTTTTGACTATGTCTCAATCATTTTTTTTTATAAAATGTCTCAATGAATTCAATACATTGTGAATGTCTAATTTTACAACACATAATCATAATATTAAAAAAATAATTCTAAAATAATAGTTAAAAGACGGTTCAACTTTCAAATCCTATAATTAATTTGGATGGTTAGGTTAGAATAAAAATAAGAAAGTGTTGGATTATTTTAATTATATGTAGCCGTTATATTTAATAATCAAATATTGTGGGTTTTGTTTTTTTTTTCTTGTAAATGGGGAATTATATTAATTAGAGCCAAAACTGACTTTAAAACCATTGTTTATTTTTTATACATTTCAATCATTATTGGCCTATTTAGCTCAAATAATTAACATCATGCAACTTGATTTTTCTACATACTTTTTGCATTATCTATTTCAACTCCTACTTTATACTCTCAATTCTCTCTTCAACAGGTTTGTACTCTGATTTGAAGCGCCTTACATTCCTTTAATCCACACATGGCAAACACATGCCATTACAGCAGCACTTGCTAACTTCAACTTCATTTTCCTGAATTTACACCCATTGATCACTTGCCAATTCTGATCTCCAGCCATCTCATCACCCGTCCTATTAGATATGCTGAGTAAGTACATGAGAAGAATAGATGCTCTTGTTTCCATCACTGCTGAATCACGCATAATACGTTGCCTCTAATCAATCCCGATTCCTATTCTTTCCATTCTTTCAACTGTCATCAATCTATTAAATCCTGTCAGCCAAAACTGTGTATTGGTACACAAACTTTATTCCATATCATATCTGCGTCTCTTAATCTGGTTCCCTTATCCGGTTATCCCTACATTGATCATACCCCCTCTAATAGTATATTTATTCTGGTTTGGTATCCAGGTTCCAGTATCCACACCTGTTTTCAGCTTCTCTTTGATCTACATTAATCGTTTTCAGTGTCATGAACAATCCCCTGGTAGCTCATATTCCCATAAAGTTATTCCCTTCGAATAGTACTCATAATCCACTTCACCCATAATACATTTTCGTGCCCTGCTATATCCCAAACTTGTTTAGCTACTGCTGCTTGGTTCCACAAGTCAGGTTCCTGTATATTCACAGCACCTTCACTTTTTGGTCTACAAAGAATCTCCAAGGCAACTAGAGTTATACCATGTCTAGTTCCATTCTTACCCCATACAAACTCCATACAGATTCTTGTTTTCTGTAAGATAACCCTTTTTGACAACAAAAATGTATTCTCCCAATACACATGCAAAGAAATAAGCACTGAGTTAATTAACTGATGTCTACCTGCATATGATAAGTGTTTAGAGCTCTAGTAGTGGATCCTCTTAGCCATCCTCTCTACCAATGGTTTATAGTCTTTGTTGCTCCATTTGGTTGGTGAGATTGGAAGTCCCAACTATCTCATTGGGAAGCTCCCAACTTCAAATCCACTGATTTTCTTCAGTTGCTCTGTCAATTGCTCATTAATTCCTGCACAATACATATTAGATTTTTCCTTGTTGACTCTCTAACCTACAGTATCACCAAAGGACTTCAACACTTCTGTTATACACTTCATAGAGCTAGGTTCTACTTTAAACAAAATTATCAAGTCATCTACAAACCCTAAATAGGTAATTTGCAGTTTACCACATTGAGGATGGAAGTGAAGCTGCTTTCTTTCTGTTTCCAGTCTGAATGCTCTAGTCAAGTATTCCATTATCATAACAAATAACAACAGAAAAATAGGGTCCCCTTATCTCAACCTTCCTTTTCCCTAAAAATAAGAGAAAAAGATCAACCTTCTACACCCATTTAGGTTCAGAGGATATGCTCTACTCGTTAAACATTCCAGAATCCTACCAGAGAATTTTTGTAGAAATCCATATCCTTCTAGCACTTCCGCCACAAACTTCTAGTGAACAGTATCATAAACTTAACGGAGATCAACCTTCATCATACAACTAGGGTTGACAATCTTTTGTTTGTAAAGCCTTATAAATTCTCGGGTCAACAGAATATTATGAATAATTTTCATATCTTGAATAAATGTTGCATGGTTTAGATCTACTAAACTAGATAACACTTTACTCAACGTTTTACATAAAACCTTAGATATATATTTGTATAATGTATTACAACATGATATAGGCCTAAACTCCATAGCATTTTTTTGGGATTTCCACTTTGGTTATTAAGGAGATTACAGTAGTATGAAGTTGCTTTAACAATTTTCTAGCACTAAAAAATTCTAAAACAACATCAGTAATTTACATATTGACAATGCTCC